ACACAGCCACTGTAGCCGGAGTGTTTGTAGACCTGTGTCAATATTTGGGGACTTTGTAATTAGAAGCCCGAGTATCTGAAACTAGGACCGGGCTTAATGATGGACTTATTAATATTTGTGGTGTTTATGACAACACGCATCAAATGTGTACATAATGGAGCCCTCAATTACTGATAAACTGTATTGTTGTAATAGAGTATGACAGGGATAATTTCACTATTATTAAATATGGCCGGGTAATGATAATGTAAATACTATTCAACAAGACTACTATCAAATCCCCTGACACAAAGCCTCACATTTACCCGTACTGATGGTATATACACAATTCACACATCACAGTATCAATTTGGGTAACATTTGGTTTTTTAAACATATTGTACTTGTTTTGTCACCGGAGTTTCTGGTCATAATTGTATTTAAATGAGGTCATGTAGGTGGTAACAGAATAAAAGTGGTTTCTAGGCTATAAATAATCAGAGAATCACGAGGATGCATTACATTGGTATTTCAAAACAAGCGATTTCATGGTATGGGTTAATGCCTTCATTCATTTGAAGCTGTGATATCACATGTCATGATTACGCAGTCAGAACTATTAGACTTTAAATAATTTTGCTTGGAGGGGAAAAACGCCAGTAATTGGAAGATGGATGAGTTCGTGAAGTTGTTGTTATCAGTAGGAAAAACCAGAACGTGATGGAACAGGATTGTCATACAGATCGATACAATTGAAACACACGAAAAGGTTATTTTTGTCAGCAGATTTTGCAAATTTTACTAAAAAGAAAGAAAAAAATCAAGTAAGAAATTGAAAAACCTTTGAATTGTGATTTTTTTTCTGCTTGTTAAGTCCTACAGGAAGACATTATTTATTGTAAAGTTTTATAATCTTTTAAGTTGAGAATATTACTTTAAGGGTGTATGTCATGCTATCAACACACTATCACATAATTTTTTTAATATTTTCAAAAGAGCTTAATGTTATACATGTAATGAAACCAGAATGCATACTAGGTTTTAGAAAAGTATTTGACAAATCGATAAATTTCAATGGAGATTACTAAGTAAGGTTAACATAGTTAACATCTGTTTTGAACTCACCACGAAAAGTCTCTATATTTGAGATAATTACTGTTTTATTTCTGTGTTTAGGTTATAGTACATCGTAATGTCTGGTGAATTTATGGCCTGGTGTTCTGTATTCTGTATGAGAATATTAGGGAAACCACACAACTGAAACACAGGATAGCTTCTCCCGTTAAACCTGTGGCTATGAGTACATGTAACCTGTGTTATTTGATAATACTTGAAACATGCTTACTCCATTTAATGATAAAAATACAGCACTTTCCATACATTATTGTCTTGTACCAGGAAGATGAATATGAACTCTCAACTGCATTTGACCTGATGTCATATGCTTCGTAGTTTGTGTTTATGTATTATTTTTATATAGTCGAGCTTTGTTCTGTCAAATGGAAGATAAGTTTTTTTATTGATGGCTAGGCCACTATAAATATAAGACTCAGAAAACAGATGTTTTTATTGTGAACTGACACATCTAGGTGATATATAGGTGGAAAAGTTAGAAAAAAAAAAAACACTAATGATAATAATTCGTGAATTTAAGCGCGAATGGATTCTGGACATCATGCAAATTGATCTGAAGCTGTTTACACTAAAATGCTAAATATTGATTTTCTACAATTAAGGACAAGCTAAAGTTCTCATGAAAGCATTCATTGAATTTATGCCTCATCCTTGGAGCCTGGAGATGGTGTGCTTATATGACTTCAGTCTTAAATGTCAACTTGGTCTGCAGAAAATCACTTGTGATATTTATATGACAGATAGATGAAACTGCTGTTAGATTTTTACATAAATAGCCGTCAATTTCAAGGATATCCCTTTTCATCATCACTTGAACGTAAACGTTTATCAAGATTAAATGTGTATCAAGTTCTTTCAAAAATGATTTGAAATGTTTCCAAAATACTCATAAATCTAAAAGAATAATCATATAAAAGTAGAAAATGATTTCCTAAAGTATCTTTGCTATTTGTGGATAAAAATCTTGGTAGTAAAAGCCTTGGTTTCATAACCCCAATATATCTTCTTTTACTGATAAGGAGTACTCGAAGGTACGTGAGTTATCGGTATTACGTCAGACATTAGAGTTATCCCCCTTGTAATCGATCCAAGAGATTATTCTTTTCCATATTTTAAAGTAAAACACCCATGTAATTCTCGTGTGTTGGGAATAATGGTCGGTAATTCTTTAGACATGATGATATTTGCTGTATAGATCAAATTCTCATAAGATAACAAAGAAAATTATTGGGTTTGAGGTAGAAAGCACAGCAGAGACTACATATAGCCATAGAGAAATAAATCTTTGTGTATGATTATAATAACTAATCACACTATTTAAAGAGAGAGAAAAAAAATACAATCAAAACTTGTACAAATTAAAGATTTGTGGAGGTCTTTTGCTGAACGTCCAACACATCTACATTGGTATATGGTGTCTATAGTGATTTAAACTTACATCTCTATCTGACACTGTTATCATCATTTCAAAATATCTCAAAAGTAATCAAGTCATTGAAAATTAATTCATATATGTTATTTGTGTGTCTATTGGATATGATATGGACAAGGATTTCATGTCGTCAGTTCTGCTTTATCGTTATAAGACATTTTAAATTGATTTATGGTTTGAAGTATTTTTGAAAGATTTTATTTGGTTTTACACATAGTCATTAAAATAATGAGTTGAAATTAAATGTTAAATGTTTTACAAGGAATTTTAAAAAAAAAATCAGAAATTATACGCTGTGTTCCTGTATACAATGATACCAATGCATAAACATTCTTGCTTAATACTTTAGATGGCATTGCACAAAATATGATCCCTGTACCTGTGAATTAGCTCAAACCAGGTACAGTCACAAAATATTAACCCTGTCAAATAAAACACTACTCTGTATGTGAAATTCAACAAATTACAGAGAAGATATACTGGTCCCCTTGCTTTTAGGACGACAAATTACTCCCCGCTCCTCTGGCTTGCTTGCTAGCTGTTTGAACTGCCAATTTGGATTATCCACATTGAAAACAAACTACATGCTGTGAAGTTGTAAACTACATTTACACTGGTAGTAATTCAAAATGGTTATCTGTAAGAGTATAATTGGTAATTATCTTCCTCCATATTTGGGCTAAATACAAACCAGATGGAATAACAATAATGGATCAACCTGCCACCCCTCTCTGTGTGGATAGATCCGCCTAGACAGTAAAACAGGACGTGTCCACTTTGTCATTGAAGGGGTGACCAAATGTGAATTATCACAAATTGGTTATATGTATGGAAATGAAAGTCCAGAGTCTGAACGAGCAGAACGGTGATACTCATCTCCAAAATCGTTATGGATGCCTCAAAACAATCACTTGTTGATATCAAGACTGGTCAGTAATCTATATGTAACTGATGACATGCTGCTGTAAACACCTAACAGCCTGGTGTGATTTGTTTTATATATCATTCTCTCCATACATTGCGTGACTTGTGCCTAACTTGTGATGATTCAGGCTTCATTTTCGGGGATTTGTAGATTTTTGCTTTCTAAGTTTGACAACAGTAGGTGGTAAACATTATTTGTATATGTTATTTTGTTCAAATAAATTTGGTCTCTGGAAAAGTTGCATATTGGTTGTCTTTTCAGTTCAACAAAATAGCCTTTCAGACCACATGGAGTTGGACTTTGGGTTTACCATGTAATTAGGAAAGGGAAAAAATGAGGATGTTAGGAGAACCATTGACAGACTGGAAAAGTTGAAAGTGTAGAAGTTCTTATTCCTAACTGTTTCTTCAAAATTGTTCAGTGGACAAAGGCTGGTGTTCCTTAATGGTCATAAAAGTTTGGTCAGTGGTCAAGACTTGTGTTCCTAAATGTCTATCATACCAATTACTGGTCAAGACTTGTGTTCCTAAATGCCTTTTCATTCAGTCAGTTGTTCATGCTTGTGTTCATAAATATTTTGTCAAGTTATGTCTTTGGTTAAGTCATTGGTCAGTTCTGATGTTCACAAATGCCTCGTCAGATTCTGTCAATGGAAAAGTCTTGTGTAACTGTGTGTGGTGTATGATCACTCAGAAAGTCTTGGATGTTGGGTTGATGTTATTTATCACTGTGTGCCATGCTGGACATTTTGTGTAATGCTTTAGACATAAATGTAATGCCTAATAGACATGTCTGGGTTTCTGATACGATGATGGAGTCAAATTTATTCAGCAGTAGCCTATCTGTTACACAAATCATAAAAGCAACCACTGTTGAAATTTATAGAGTATTTATAAAATAAAGCCCTGATTTTGCCTGTCTGAGGACACTTGGTCTGATTGTATATCAGCAGATAATGTATAGCTTTGTCACTGATGATTCTAGCGCTGTGTACATGTTCGTCAACACCAAATATTAGATAGTGTGTATTGCTTGTAACTGGTTGATGAACCAGTCAACACCAACGTTCACATTGTGTATATGTCTTAATAGCTATAAAACTAGCAAGCACCAAGTGTAACACATTGTCATACTAAATACCGTTAAACAAAATAAAAAAATTACTAATATGGTATCGAGACGTTTTTCTGTATTGGATAGATGAAAGGCATGTTGTGTTATGTAAAATCAATTACGTTTCATCGTTGTGGTAGATTTCTTCTCAAACTGACGCCATTTTCTAAGGAATGTGATTTCTTTATATTTCATCAAAGTGGATACAAGGGTAGAATATGAGAATACCAGGGATGGAATTTGTGTTCAAGGTCAAGGTCATATTACTGTTTGTAGAAAGTTGCAAACAAATTTGGATAGAATAGCAGATGCCAAACAGGCACATATTTCTTCATTTTCTTTTTCTTGAAAATCTTTTCTTTTAAAATCTTTTCTTTTTTCAAATCAGTTAATATGTTTTTTCTTCCTGTTTTTCAGATCTCCATGCTTACAGATAAAATAACAGGAAAGCCACGTGGTTATGCCTTCATAGAGTACGAACATGAACGTGACATGCATTGTAAGTAAGCCATACAATAGGCCAGATATTGGTACTAGGAATGGATGACGTGTGCTTCAAATGACAGGGCACTTAAAAAAGTCTGAATTATTCAAAATTGAATTTTGGAAGCAATCTTGAAAACATGTAAGATTTTAAAAATATTTAACAAACTTCATATTTATCAACTTCAAAATCAGTTGAGCGACTGAATATTTAACAATAGAGAAAAGAATATATTACTGCATGCTCTTCATGATATTACGATTTCACCATGTCATTTTCAATGTCTTTAGATCTCCAACTAGCTGTTCTATTCTTGAATGTCCTTTGTCATTGACTTTTAAATCAGAGATTCCAGACTGTTTTCAAGTAGGCAAATTCCCTGGTGGGTTGTAGAATTGTACAAAACATGTCATCCCTTCCTACAAATGTCTGGCGAAACACTAGCCTGGCTTTCACTTCATCTATTGCACCGTAATTATTGAGAAATGAGATTTGTTCAATGTTGTAATGGTCCAGACAACACTACCGCTATTTAAACTAACGATACATAGAAACTCCTTTGCCCTACGTTATCCCGGAGCACCACAAACCAGTGCCCTTCAGAGTTCACCATTCTGTTTTTCACTGGTGAATGTCAATGTTCCAGGATTACGTTGGACCATATTGTTGTCACCCATCCTATACGTCATTTGTGACAACTGGAAATGATGCATTATGGGTAAAACCCTAGACATTCTTTATAAATATATCAAAATGGTTGTGTTTTCTATGCTCTTTATCCAAGTTAGAATAATCTATAATTCAGGAACTTCTGTATGGATCAGTAATAAGCCCAGGGGAAACACTGTACCCAACATAATTAGTAGTGGGAAAGGTTTATTACGGGGCAGTGACATAGCAATTGTTTGTATGTCAATTTCCTGTAGATGTTGGTTGTCTTGGTAAGTATTCAGTTTTGACTGAGTTGTCAACCTAACATGGTTTGTTTTAAGGCCGTACATCTTGTAATGAACATGACAATGCATCCATGATCATTAGGCCCAGGGGGCTGTTGTTTGAGTACTCCAAATATAATATTATAATTTGATATTTTATACTTGAACACAAGCTGATCTGACACAAGATTTTTCCAGTTTGCCTGTAACTGTTTATTTATTTATTTTTTGATAAATCTTGCCATGAAAATGAAGGTTTTTAAATCGGACACTTCTTTAGATATGTTACCAATGAAGTATGATGTCCACAAAGTCCGTCATTAAATCAAAATAGATATCTGTCATCTAAATCCAGAATCTGATAACAAATAAAGAACAATGATGTAAGTTGTGCCAGACCGTTAGAATACTTTACTACTTGAGAATGATGACTTGAAAGGCGATAATAGGCTTACATCACCTGTATCAATTTAGTTATTTGGCTGATGGACAGGATTTCATTGGCTCGGTTATTCTTTAGAGAAAAGCAGAAATTGATATGTCTGTACACGATAAAGAAATAACTCCAGTAGTGTGCTGTAGTAAACATAAATGGGTTTACAAATGAATGTTGAAAGAGCATACATGATCCGTTAAAAAAACCTATACATTGGGCTGCATGAAGTATTTATCTGTACATAGATCATGAACGAGCAATAAAAACAGGGTTAAATTGTATTTTTTTGCAGTTTTAGTGCATAATCAATTTTCTTTTTTTGCATTCCTTACTTAAGAGTGGAATAATTTACAATTTTTTTACTTGTCTAAATTTGAAATGCTCGAACTCTGAATTTTGTAGAGGTATTTTTGTATTGTTTTGTTTTACATAAATGGTAAGTACAACATATAAAAAAAGTTATACCGTGTTCCAGTAAAATACAGTTAAATTGGTAAAGTACATCAACATACAACTATCATTTTTTAAAATTTATTTTTCAATTTCAATTTAGTATTCGTTATTTAAATACATATTTTATAAAGTGATATCTCCAGCAGAACTAATCCGTTTCCTTGTTATTTTCACTTCAGACAGATGAGGTGGTGAACTTGATGGCAATGCCAATCATGTTCCTTTGAAATTATTGCTGGCCACTCACTATAGGTTTGTATGGGAGTGGTAAGACATTTAGTCCCATTACCCTACAGTAACCTTGGCAACTCCCACATGACCTCTTCAAAAGTTCTATAAAATCATACATAATTTCCCCATTCCTTTGAAATTAAGTATATTTTTTTTCTTCAAATTTTTTTTTTTTTTTTTTTCGTTCTGCCGTTCAAGTTACTTCTTTCAAAGATTCCCTTTTTCCATGAATCAAAGATAAGATCTCAACTCTGAATGACCTGCCGATTAGTTTTGTCCAGTGATTCAAACCTACCATATCAAGTTTAAAGAATCTGGTATAGGATATGCATGGGGTTTTTTAAGTTCATATCAAAATTGGGATGAAACATTTAAACGTGTTCAGCTACGTACAACTAAAATTAGGTCAAGGCCACAGTGGTCAGACCTTGATGGCTGGTAATCTACATAATTGATACTGAATCATTCTTGTGGATGTTGATGGTAAGCAAGCTCTATTGTATTTCGGGATGGAATTACATCATTGTGTGTTAGAGAAGTTCTGCACCAGTCTATTTTCAAACTTGGTATTTATGGTACGTATATTGTTTCAAATCGGTTTCAAGCTGAACTTTGGAAATGTGTGTTAGAGGAGGATGGGATGGAATGGGATGGGGGTTGGGGAATGTTCATATGAACTGTCAGGTAAGACCTAAAACTTCGTGGAAGTTCTTCGGTGAAACCAACATGACAGATTTTACAAGATTTCAAGAAGTAGTGTCTTACTGCAACCGAAATGGAGAAAAGAAAGTTTGGTTTGATAATTTGAAAAAAAAATATATATAAATAAATTGGGTTGACGTAAGTATCTTTGGTAAGTTTTAAAAAAAAAAAAAAAAAACCATCAATATGTACCGGGTAAGTTACTATAGAATCGGGTAAGTTAGTAAAAATAAAAAACAGAATGGTAAGTTGTTAAAAAACAACAAAAAAAAAAGTTGGTAAGTTTTGAATAGAAAAAAAAATTGGTAAGTTTTCAATTAAAAAAAATCGGGTAAGTCTATTTTTTAAAAAAAAAATATGTATGGGTAAGTTGAAATTATATCGGGTAAGTTGGAAAATGATTTTGGAATCGTGGAAAATTTGCTCCCCTGGCTTAGGACATGGCTCTCTCCATCATGCCTGCCAAAACCTCGTCCCTGCTGTCTTCCAATTGTAAATTCAGCGGAAATAGGACGTCCTGCGTAAGTTTCCCGATAATTGGAGTATCAGTTGATGTTGTAGTTGTTATGGAATAAATCAAAAAAAAAATTTTCAAAATTAATCCCCCCCCTTTTTTTTTTATTTATTTTGGTTTCCCCTTTGAGGTAGGTATGCTTGTAAATCCCATACAAAATGAGACAAGAGTTTTGGCCAACAAAACACTGTATTAAGTAACAATAGTCATTTTGCTAATAATTGTTCATTGATTTCCAGGCAGTAGAATGCAGAATTATGACATTAAGGTGTGCTGAAGATATAAATGAAGCAAATTCTTCCCAAGAAAACAAGAATATCATCACTTTAAAAAAACCTGACTCAGATGTTGTAAATTTGAAATAACTCGTTAAAATTCTTTTTAATTGTTTGGTTGTAAACATTGGTAGGTATATAAAGGAAGGGTTTGCTTGGTTGATATCAAAAGCACCTGGTTTCATTTCAGCTTAAGTGCCAAACTGTACAACAGAATCAGTTCCCCTCTAAGCTTGAGTGAACTAAACGTCACCAACAGTTTAAACCATTTGGTTTCTTAGAGGGGAAATGATTCTGAGTAAACTTCCAAGGATTTTCGTTTAAATTTAAATTACAAAAGACGAGAATTATTCAACGCTAATAAGTTTAATCATTCCCAAACTTTGAGAAAAAAAGAACTATAGATTTGTTAAGAATGAAAAACGGATGGAGATTATAAAACTGTTTCGGTGTTAAAATATGATGTACCATGTGTTGGATGTACAGGTGAGTGTCCTTTACAGGTAAAAGATGCGACACGATTACCGTGACAGGAAGTTGATTACTTACAGTTTGGTACACCTTAAAACACTCCTATGAATACTGATGTGGTGTGACATGATGCCTTATACTTTTATTCATTTTGCATATTTTCTTGCTTCAAAACAAATTTAGCTGCCTACAAGCATGCAGATGGAAAGAAAATTGATGGACGACGTGTACTTGTCGACGTGGAGCGAGGGCGGACAGTGAAAGGATGGCAGCCTAGACGCTTGGGTGTGTACTCTTTACTTGGCTTCAGTGACAATTTTTCCATGAACTGTTAGTTTGTTCATCAGTACAATATCTTGATCAAATTACTTTTATCTCTGTTCTTTTATGTAAATCATAACGTACCAGACAGTTATGAAGAGAAATCCTGTTAGCTAGTGTTCACTATTACATTCTGTAGGGAAAGTGATTTGTTGATTTTTTCAAGATATAAATCTAGTTATGAAATTTTCATTATAATGTCTATATCCCAGTAAGCTTATGGTAATTTTTTTCCCCTTCTTTTGCCCTTTCTGTACAGATCATTGTTTGATGACCTTTCTGTACAGATCAGTGTTTGATGCCCTTTATGTACAGATCAGTGTTTGATGCCCTTTCTGTACAGATCAGTGTTTGATGCCCTTTCTGTACAGATCAGTGTTTATCAGTGTTTGATGCACTTTCTGTACAGATCAGTGTTTGATGCCCTTTCTGTACAGATCAGTGTTTGATGCCCTTTCTGTACAGATTAGGTTTTGATGCCCTTTCTGTACAGATCAGTGTTTGATGCCCTTTCTGTACAGATCAGTTTTTGATGCCCTTTCTGTACAGATCAGTGTCTGATGCCCTTTCTGTACAGATCAGTTTTTGATGCCCTTTCTGTACAGATCAGTTTTTGATGCCCTTTCTGTACAGATCAGTGTTTGATGCCCTTTCTGTACAGATCAGTGTTTGATGCCCTTTCTGTACATCTGAGGTTAATCATCTATATATTTTTGTCCTTAAAGCCCTGTTTGTGCTTACTGTTTGTAGTACATCTAACCTGTTTGATTTGCTAGACACATCAGACTTTATTTCTGTTTTGTGTACCTTGTAACTCTCGTTACACTGGTGGTAATACTGGTGAGGCAGCAATTCGCTCGTAGAAAGTTGCATGGTAAATTACGTATGTCTTACTAAAAAAAAGTTCATTTGTTCTGTTGAAACAGTGGATTTAAAAAAAAATCGGTGGATGTTTGAAACATTGAACCCATTGGATATAAGATTTAACACATCCTCGTCTGTGAACTACCAACAGATGGATTCTTAAAAATTCGAAAAAAGAAAAATGAAAGAAAAAAATGTAAAATGTATTGATGTCAGAAAAGACTTCTTGTAATGGAGACTTATGTGTAAGATTGTTGTCGGGTCTTTCTGAACTTGATTGAAGTACACACAATTTCTAAATTACAGAACAAAAGCTTTTACATTTGTATAAGAAGTCATATGCAGTAATGTTACATGAACTACTCTGTCCTTACACCAGTGACAGGTTTGATTATGGATAGAGGTTATAAACTATTTCATAAGTCTAGAAGGAAGTGCATTGATTTTGTTGAAGGGGCCTTTGATACGACAGCTGTCATATCTGTAAATATCCAAACACCACCATTTCTAGTATGGAATGTTGAAATGCAATACTTCATCTCTTCAGATCATGTTCAGCATTATATTTAATTTGTTCGATATTTGATGTCCTAACAACAGTTTAGGTATTATGAGGACCATTTCCAAAATCCAGAAATGATTGATCAATAAACAGACATTTTTATAGTGCTATCACACTGAAATGTCACAACCTAGGTTCGACATCATGACAGCCCAACTGTTTACATGATGCTGATAAAAGGCTAACCATAGCGCTGAACGATAAGTAGTAAATACCAATTCTGTAAACATTGCTTTTAAATCTCTTGCTCAGGTGTTAAAATCCATAAACTTCCTTTCTTGAATGATGTTTTGCCTCGTTAAAAGGCTGCAGTAGCTCATTGTGTTAGAGCATTGGCCTGTGGTAACGTCAGATTACTCAGGAAGCTGAGAAACAGAACAATTTATGCTAATACGGTTGTGTCCTTATGCAAGACGCTTTACCGGACAACATGCAGCTGGCCTCCTGTATGTTGTTCAGGAAAGTGACCACCAACTTCTGTATGGATACCCTGCTCAAAACGACCCTGGCTGTTCAAGGAACATTAAACCCACCAAACAAACATTAAAGTCCTTGTTTGAATACACATATCATAAAACTACATTTTCTTTGTAGTTAGCATGTTTTAGGAAACTTGTATCTGAAGCCTTGATAGTTTCGATGATTTATTATCACGGATAAAAAGAATCGGCAGAATCTCATTATTCTTGGTAATTTGATAATATTGCCTGTAATAAATTGTCCATAAATAAGAGATGTTAGAATTTCATTTTCTTTTACATTGTTTCCTTATATATTGATATGTAGGTACTCCAGACTCTCATGTTACAGAATTATTGAAATCCAGTGTTAAAGTTTGTAGTTGTTAAGTCCTGGCCATTGTTTTGATTAATCTACATTGGAGCAGGAGTGTCCTTTGTTTCCATAGTCAAGACAGAAATAATTACTTTAAGTTTCAATTCAAATTTTTTCATCTAAACATTTGAATTGACTTTCCTTTCAATACAAAAAGAAATTTATATTGATAATCTTACCTGCCGACACATCAGCATACCCCAATCCAATGTTTACAGCCCTGTGAATACTTGGGATACCAAAAAACATTGGCTCGTGTCTTTAGATTTCATCATCAAGAAAAAAACTTTTGTAAATCCCAGAAATACATTTAGTTTTATCCACAGATTATTGATAGAACAGGCCAAAAAATTTTCTTCATTGGAGCCAGATATCATCGAAAATCTCCGACGTCTTGTTATGGAAACACATTATGTGAGCTTTCCTAGGCTGTATACATACTTTTGTAAAGAGCAGACAAATAATTTTTCTGGGGTTCTTACTTCTATACAGGGTACAAATTGTATATTATCGGGAGGTCAAACTCTTTATATGGAATCACATCAACCGTCCGAATGGAAATTGAATTAATCAGAGTTGGGTGGTTAAGGATGTAATTGGCGCTAATATCGTATTTTGATAAATATGTGTGTAGGTCTCTTAGAAGAGAAGATTCTCTCGCTTTTTGGTGGCTAGCCAAAGATATTCAATGAATATCAATCTGGTGGTTAATCTTTCCTTGAGAAGCGGTTACCATAGGGAAGTTATACCAAGAAATATATTGTCATTGATATATATTCATCATCGCACTGACGACGTGACCTAGATTTTCTAGGTATTGCTGATGTCTCTATAGCAATGGCTGTATTTGGTTAAGATGTCTGAACTATTGTCTCCTAGGTAACATCAAAGCCTTGACAACAGAGGTTGTATCGTTGGTTTTGTCGAATTCTTTCCCTCGACATATTACTATTATTAGTTTTAAGATATGACACATTATAGGACTTGAGCTAACTACAACTAGAATGTTTTCAATGACCTATTCGCTCCCTTGCTTCACAAGTATACATGGCGTATTTGCTTTTTTTTTGACACTAATGTCAGTCCTACCATTTGGGAATTATATACTCTGTATGAAACTCTGAAGTTCTGACCTAAATATTTGTCACGTTTAAAAGTATGCGCTATAATACACACATTGTCCATTCCTGAATCACTGATATTTTTTTTACCAGATATTTAGCCGAAATAATGCCATTTCCGTTATTGATTTTTGCTAAAAAAAAATTTTAATCTTTGAAAATGCTATCTGATATATTCCTGAACACGTTTTTGCGTTTTAAAGAAATAAACACTAAAAAATAAAGACGAATAGATTAGACATAAAATCGCAAGAAAAGGAATCTCGTAAAAGGAAAAAAGTAGTTTCTAGAAATGCAAATTTCAACATTCCGGATCAGATGACAGAATATCATCACCTCCGTCTCCAGATTCAAGGTAGGGCTCTTGGAACCTGTTAATATGCCTAGTGTGCTTCCGCTGGGTCACATTTCTTAAGAAATCGGAAGTCAGCACTAATGGGACTCTGTCAGAACAGTCTTACTTGTCATCTGGGATTTCATAATTGGAAGCCAAATGCAGAAATGTTGTCGGAGCCCAGCAATATATAGGATGTGTGATGCTTGGTGTCACACCAGAAATAAACCTAGAGATGAGAGGTAGTTTAAGGTTTCTTTCTAGGTAACTCATACACAGTTCGCCTTGTTCGCGTTTCACATTCACCCATGTATAATATTATAATAAATGACTTGACGACTAGAGGCATGTCTTTTTTAGTGTGTGTGTTATTGATAAGTGCAGTATTAGGAAGCATTTAAGCTCACAGATGGAAATTGCTATGCAACAGCCATTGACAAGACAATGAAGCTTGCAAAAGATTCTAACAGTTCTAGATTGATTTGAGGAAATGCGATAAATGTAAAAAAAATTATCTTGACTCAGGAACATAAATGTCTTTCTTTTAGCATCAACTTATATACATTTTATGAGGAATTTGTAATTACTTTAAATTGATTAAATTAAATTAAATTAATTTAATGTCGAGATCCTGGACTTTAAAATCAGATAGATACTAGCTTAAGTCTTATCCATGTTTAAGTTGATTTTGATAACGGTAAACATGGGATGTAAGACACACATTATAAATTTGTGATTTTGATTCAAGTTGAGTTTAGAATCAGGGCCATATTTCAGGGGTCAAAGGGCAGAGGATTGAGAGTTTTGAATATATACATGTAGGGAAGATAATAGAGATTGAAATTGTCAATCAATTCTTCAAAATACATCTGCTGTATGTTTATATACCTGATCAGTAAGTCTGAAGTCATTGCAGCCATCTGTAATTAAAAGACACATTCAGCAGCAAGATGACTACAAGGCCTAATCAGGATATCAACCTTGTGCAGTGTAGTCATTGCTAATTACAGCATTTGAAACATCTGCACAATGTCTTGAATTGTATCTGGTTCGATTTTTTTTTTAAAAGAATACAACCCAAGGCCAACTGTTGCCATAATTATGTGACACTGAAACTTTGAAAAATTTATTTTGCACAATGCCTCAGCATTAGTTTGGTATTGACCAAATCAGGCTGCACTGATAAGGTAATTGGAAATTGATTGCGTCTTGAAATGATTTTTTCATGGATTTCATGATGTTAAATTTCACTGCATGCATATCACTGTTCCACAGATAGGAGCAAAACGCATGTTAGTCACATCTTAATGGGACAATCCATACATCGGGAAGTTCAGTAAATTGTCTTAGCTCAGGATAATGGATTTTGCCAAACAGTTTACTTTTAAATTCTCTAAAAGATTCGGATTTATTGTAGATATATCACAGTTATGTCTGTTTGTTTCCTAATAAAATGCCTTAACATGCACTGGGAAACATGAAACTGCACGTCTCAATGTTATAGCACAAGATGTCTGTAATTCTAAACTATCTAGCCCAGAAATCTATATGGAAATTAAATACAGCTCAATATTAGGAAATATCTTCAAGTAGCGATTATACCTGGTAACAAATGGTTATCTTTGCCCTATTGTGTCTGTGTTATTGAGACCCGAGTTTGATGATCATTAAATTCTACTTTAGGATGGAGTTAATAAATAGATCAATTTTAAAGTCTGTTAAACAACAAACTGTTGTTGACATGTAAACCATTACATAGGTCAAACTTCAATAAGTTTGGTCAATCACGTTTTGAGAGATTACTGTTTTTAATCCGCCCAATAATTCTTCTCTGGCGGCTTAAATTATAAGATTTTATGTTCAGGTAATGGTTGAACTACTGGACAATGCAGCGATGAACCTTACATGCGAGTCCTGTACTCATAGAATTTACATTATATATGTAACATGTTACATTACGGGACCCAGTGGTTTAAGCGATGAAGTTGAAGTGGACACCTGAAATTAAATTTTTTTCATTTATTTTATCAGTAATGTGATTCTTTGGTCATAACATTGAAAGTTATCCCTATCGTATCTAACTTTGTGTGTCAAAAATCAATATACGTGGGAACATGAATTTAAGGTCATCTCCAGCCTCTAGTTTGACCTTTAGTGGATAGGACTTTGCTGTCCTCTGATTGGTCAGTTTTGAATATATTTATCGTATATATGAACGACAGAATTATAAATTGTCACACTTTTAATTTTTCAAGGATAATTTTATCATTTTAAATTTGTGTTTAATTAGTGTAATGGTCCCTAATGTATCAATACAAACTGTCAGAACACTTTATCATGCAAGTTTCTCATCATCATCATTTGTTTTCACTTTCAAGCTTGATTAACATCACTCAAGTTACTTTATCTCATAAGCGAATTTGATCAAACTTCACTCAAAGGTCACTATAAAAATACCGTAGATGAATCATGTTTCAGGCTGAAAAGGTCAAGGTCATTCTATAGAAACATAAAACGATTTAGTGTCATTATCTTTAGAAATTTTTCAGACATTGAATTTTTGTGTCTTTGATATTTACATGTCTTAAGACATTTTTCTAGTTTTTAAACTATTATTGATGTTCGTTTATTGTTCCACATTAGACACAAGATAGGGTCACTCTGGACATGACGCTGACAGACAATCACATGTAGAGACTTTTCATAGAGCTAGAGATAATTATAATGTCTGTTGTAGGCTGTGACCCTCCTTGCAATGGTGGAAGTAGTGCCCTGTGAATAGTCTGGCTGTCTCCACATCGCACTGCCTTCATTAGTGTATTAGACCCAAGATTATGCAATATTGTGTTTTGTCACCATGAGAAAATTCTGTTGACGAGATATATATTGATTCTGCTTAGGCTTCTGTCTGCTTTTTCAGCCGTTAACAGGCAGAGATTTTGTTTTCCCAATTTCAGCAAGAACTTAATTCAAAAGCTTTTAAAAAACTTTTTTGTACACTTACAAATGGGAAGTATCAGTCAGGAATACCACTTTAGTAGTCAGTAACTCCTGGAAAGAGACCCCTCCCTCCCAGCCCCCACCACCACCATCATTTTCACCGGGAAACAACTGGGTGTTCACAATACAATTAAAAAATCACACAAATTATTCTATGTTCATGTACTTTTAAGTCTTCTGTCATCAGAAAGATGGCTTATCAATTCACACTTCATCTACGATTTACCAGTTTCCATTGAATAGTACTGGAGGGATCTTACTGAATTTCAGGTGTCAACAATGCATGTTACACTTGATCCTAATCATTTCCAATTTTAAAACTAATTGGAAAACAAAAATGGACACCTAGCATCCATCTTGAATTACCGTGATTAAGAATTGTTTAATCCCTTTCATTTTGCCAATTGTCTAGGTATGGTAATTACTTCTTTGGTCCTTAGTTGTGGATGTTGAATCTTGAAATTAAATAGAACAATAAATATGTTAACCGGTAGCCATCTTGGGTTGAACTTTGTTAATACTGTTTCTCAAAAATTACATGAAATTGATTCTTATTAAGATTAATTTGCTAGCTGTATTTATATCACTGTGAGATCAGATAAAAGAGAGGAAAGAAAGATCAGACCCATAGCAAGTAGAAACATTATTCCACGACTGACATAACAATCCCTTCAGAACCTCTCTGACAGGGTTAGAATATTCTCCTCAACAACAGACAAAATTTACACCAATAATAAGTATGGGTGTGTGCGGTAGCAGACATGTGCTTAATCAGCTGTTTGATACATGGATACAGTGAGAAGGCATTCACATCACAGCATTCAATATGCCACTGGTTTGGTGGTTATAGAGTGAAAATAACTAGCTTCAGGCCCATTTGTGTAGTCAGATCACTTTTTGTAAGGACACCAGAAAAATATGTGTGCTCTATTGAATCGGCCATGATTTAAGGAGGGAGTTTATAGAATGGGGAGAAAAATCCTGAGACACAAGGTTTAATTAATGAGAACTGATATTTCAAACACTCCTTTGAAATGATTGACAGGAAGTTATTTTTAAGGTGATTTGATATAAGCTGTTAAATCTCTAATATTCTTTTCTTCAACTTTAAACTACAACTCTTGAACAGTTCTTCCTTATATGACCGAATTTCTTGTTTGAAGGTTCTACAATTTGATTTCATATACCTTTTACTTGAAGTTTTATTTCATCCTAAACAAAGGGGCTTACTTTGTACTCAATACTTAAACTTGCTACTGAAGATCTGACAGATCCAGTGAGAGTCATGCTTGTGTGTTATAGGTGGAGGTCTCGGTGGTACCAGAAAGGGTGGACCTGATGAGAACACCAGATTTTCTGGACGAGATGAATACAGGTAAATCAGTTGTAACAGTGTTGAGTATTTGTTGTGTTACTACAGAAACAAGAATTGAAAGACATAGTTAAGGATCCTGATTTGGCCAAACGCATTCATTCTGTTGATACACCCAACCCGGCATTTGCAGCAGTATTGCTTCCTTTTTTTACCTAATGCGACACATGCCCACTCTGCTAATCATTTCAGTTTTGGTCAGGTTTCAATTTACTGAGAACAGAATCATGAATATTTGAAGTGTAACAATTTCTTTTTTTTCTCTCTCTTTCTCTCTCTCTCTCATTACAAAACCACCCCCAAATCGCTATTTGAAAGCTGCCAAACCTGACCATGTTGTTTTGTCTCATATACAGTAAGGGGGATAACTCTCAAAAATTGTGAAAGGTATTTATTGAGCAGATGCCGGAAATCTACAAAGTAATTGTAGGTTAGAAAGAAATTTTTATTCCAGGGGATGGAGTTTCTAGAAACAATAATTTATTTATTTTTTTTTAGGAAGGATTACTGGAATTTCTAGTATATAAATGATCTTAAATAAGTTTTCCTTCATATTAGATTTTATGATACAAGTCTTACTTTGCAAGCCTTGGTATAATCATTTGAAGTAACTTTAGATTATTTGAAACCATGAGCTAATACTGTTTTTGATGAGTTGGCAACTAGAAGTTTTTAGCTTGAATTTTTATGTGCTATTAACGCCATAAATCCTTAGTCCTAAATCTCTTCTGATTGTCTCCTGCATTTAGGAGGGATGTTACAGCATTTGTTTGTTGAAATTTTATTGATATGCATCAAAACTTTATTGTTATAACATCATGACTAAATAAGTGCATATTCCACATCTCTTCTATATTGTATGTTTCAACAATATAGTGCTAAAATTTTCATGTAATGTTTTTAAATTTTAACATGTTTTGATGTGTTTTTGAATTTGATAACCTTTTGGCCACTAAAATAACTTGTGTCTGAAGCTTTTAGTGTAAACTTTGGAGATTTCTGTTAGAAAAGTGTGGTCGCTGATAGTGAGTTGTGCATTTATGGATTTGATCCTCTTGTTAACAGAGAACGTGACAGTTCACGAGAGAGAGGAGGTGGAGACAGGAGAGGACGGCCCAGGAGCAGATCCAGGGAGAGGCGTCCTCGTTCTCGCAGTCGGGAACGCGAGACTGCAAGGAGGAGAAGCAGAAGCAGGGAACATAGGCGAGGCATGGATGAAGGTAAAATTGGCACAACTTTTTACCATAAGTATTTACATGTAGGTATGGTGGCCATATTGTTTTAGAAAAGTGAAACAAGGCTTTTAGTTACCTTACATATATGTATACTAGCATGTAATGTAGGTATTATCCAGCATCAGCTAATGACAGGTTTACATTGAAGGAGATATTTGTTAAACTACATCTAGTTTAGATATATTACTACACTTCAAATTTATCACCACTATATACCCAGAGTGATAAGTAATCATGTTGTAAGTGTTACTGGGAAATATTTATAGGTTCATAGCAATTGTTACCAGAAAAAAAGGTAGCAAAACCATTACGGCATTTTTACCATATCTTTATCCTTTGATCTCTGGAGGATGACACTTCTGAAGGCCTAGTATTCAGCAAGAGTTATCTTTCTTGTGACTGAATTGGTTGATTGGTTCTTCGTCAAGTACATGATTTTGACAACAATAGTCTATTTGGGGTGAGGAGAGGCAACTCTCACTCTGTTCGTTATTATAGTGTGTGGTTTTCTAAAGATCTAAATTTTATGTTGTCTGATGTTAAATGAAAATTGCTTGATGTTAGCACTCATTGAAAATATTGGTAAATTCTTCTTTCCTTTACAAGTATTATGGTTTGAGATGGGTAATCTACATATTTCACCTGTGGATCCATTCAGTGTGTTTAAAACTATCAGTTGTATGATAAATGCTTGGGAAAACTAATTCTAAAATGATTTAGAATGAAAAATGATACCATCAGTCAACGTACAGTGTTGAAAATCATTTCTCGCTTAAAACAGTACATCTCTTTTTAACAAAACTATTGGATAGTATTTTTTCCCCTTTCAGAAGAAGACAGGAGCAGGAAGAGGGGAAGAAGAAGTAGGTCTCGAGACCGCAAACAGAGGAGCAGGTCACGTGACAGGGATCGCAAACGCTCGCGTCGTAGTAGGAGTCGAGATCGCGGTGACCGCCGCCGTGACAGACAAGAAGGCCAGCCAGATGAAGTCCTGCAGGATATGCCCCTTGATTTTGATGGAAAGATTCACATAAAACAAGAGGATCAGAATAAGGGTTACCCTGATGAGGAACCCAACGGGTTCCCCCGGGAATTCCGAGAGGATGCTGAAGGGAGGCAGCCACCACAGTTCCCGCCACAAGAAGAGAGACCCCCAGAGGACAGGTTACAGGAAGAGCAGGCATACCAACAGTGAGGAACAGCTAGCAGATGATGAAACAAATTGAAATTACACTTCTTTTGTTATATCCATTCGGATCAAAGCACTTACATTTTGTGGAGACTTTGTCTTGTTACAGCTTAGACAGTTAATATGCTTGATATCACCTAAGTATTGTTTAGGGGAGTTAGTCCTTGTTTATTGGTGAACTCTTTACCTGTACATTCTGCAAGTTTTAAAGAGATTATTTGGAGTGGTTGTTGTATTGTGATTAGTAGCATTGGTGTGTACACTATCCTGAAACACATGCTAAAACATTACAATTTGGGATATGTGCTTAATGAGGCTTTTTAGACTTTTTATATCCAATTTTAATTTTTCAGAAGAACAGTTTGAAATTTTTCAACTCAATGTGACCAACACTTGTAAGGGATAAATCTGAATCGCAACCATAGACACTTTTACTATGTGTGTTTACATACATTTGAAATATTTTGCATGTCTCGGTTTCCTTGGTAACAGAATTTAGATTTTATATATATAGAAAAACTATAATATTGACATTTAAGCTACTGCATTAATTAATGACAGTTTAGCGTCAATTAATGAATTTCAATTATTGCACTTTTGGTCTGACAATCTGCCCAGGAAAGTCCAGAGTGAGAGGGCTTGAATTGTTTGTAATCAAAATAAACTTTGATCAGCTCATCATCAATCCACACCACAGAGCTTCTGTAAAGGTTTCCACATCTTTCATTTAGGTCTGTTATAAAGGAACATGTTGAGATTTGGGTAAATGATGGAAATTGGTTAAGAAACTGACTTAATTAAGGGTAAAAAGGATTGGAAATTTTAAGATCTTTTTTGTAAGGAAGAAGGAGTAAAATTTGAAAGCTAGGAATGAGTTTGATAGGGCAACATGATTTCAAAGCAATGTTGAGAAAGAAATCAAATCTGTAGCTCTGTGTCAGGCTACTCAAAGTTGTACTTTATAGTATAGGGAAGGATTCAGCTATCGAGGATAGTGTCCAGTCTGTTATGTTTTACCATTGTTTATAAATATAATATGTTATGCAATAGATGATTTTCAATCATCCTGTCTTGGTATATATATTGTCACAATCATTTTCATCATTATTACATTTGTGCTGTAGTCTGTGTCTATAACATTGTCATCAATCACTGTCATACACATCAGCTGACACATGCTTTGTATGTACTGCAAGCTAGACAGTAAATGCTCTTAGTGTAATTTTGCTGTACAGTGAACACCGTAAAATGCTGCCGGGGTGATGTTAATAAAAAAACATTGTGTGACGTTATACCGTATCACTTAGTCCCCCAGACTAGTGTGAGATTTTATTCTAGATATGTGGCATGTTAATGTCTCCTGGGATAAGCCTTCTAATAGATGTTATATCATGTATCATACGCTATGACCTCATTAGCTTGCCTCATTTCCATGAAGTTTCGGCTACATCTCTGTAATCATGTTTAGTCATTCATTTAACCACACAAAGCCCACTGGATCAGAGTTATGCAGGGGTTTTAGATAAAGAGCCATTCGTGTCAACTGGTACCAGTTGATATGGTTTGCTATTGAGTCGTAGGAATATATTGGAGGAAACCGATGTGATTAGGGCTCCAATTTAAAATTGTAGCAAATTGAGGTCATTTGAACATTCTAAATTATTGTATTGTCAAGTGGTGAATAAAGTTGTTCCTGTATATACTGTGTTACTGTTTTAAGTATAATAAAGATCAAACAATGGTGGGTACCAAGATCCCTCCAGGATCTCCTGTTGATTTCTGCTGGAAAACATCTGAACCGTTTTCAATGAAGCTTGGCAGAAACCTTGCATGGCGAAAGATTGATCAAAGTTGTAAATTATATGGTCCCCATCCCCCAGGGGCCTAAGGGGCAGTGACAAAAAGGGTCAGATTGACTGAAATTTTTAAAAAATCTCCTCAATACCCAAATATGGTAGAATCTAGTACTCTTCATGGATGGAAGTGTCTTAAGTTGCTTTAATAGATTCATAAATTTCATGACTCAAAGGTCACGCATTTACCCCTGGGGAGGGGGTAAATTTTTCTAGTTTTATGTAGGAAAATTACATTTTTGAGCATAATTTGTACATTTTCTATTAAAAAGAAATCTTAGTTAAGATTGTTAGTGAAGGATGACAGATCAATGTTATGCATATATTACCCCTGGCTGCCCCTTAGGGCTGATGGGTATGGCCAAAAAGGGGTTGTATTGACAGAAATTTTCTCGATACCAAAATATAGTAACCTTAAATACCCTTTGCGAATGTAAGACTCTTAAAGTCTTGGTGAGACATAATGACCGAGTGAGACCTGGTCAAAGTCAAATTAAGATGTTTGTAGAGAAATGTGTTTCCCTATTTTAAGATATGGTTCAAAGCTTGCTTTCCTAATGCTGTTTGACCAAAGAGTATACATATCAAAAATGTTTTCTTGTAGGACAGTCTCTAAAACATAGTCTTGTATACAAGATGACAGGGAAGGCAGTCACTAATACATTGTCCTGTATACTTACCGACAGGGAAGGCAGTCACTAATACATTGTCCTGTATACTTACCGACAGGGAAGGCAGTCACTAATACATTGTCCTGTATACTTACCGACAGGGAAGGCAGTCACTAAAATATTGTCCTGTATACTGGTCAACCGGGAAGGCAGTCACTAAAACATTGTCCTGTATACTTACCGACAGGGAAGGCAGTCACTAATACATTGTCCTGTATACTTACCGACAGGGAAGGCAGTCACTAAAATATTGTCCTGTATACTGGTCAACCGGGAAGGCAGTCACTAAAACATTGTCCTGTATACTTACCGACAGGGAAGGCAGTCACTAATACATTGTCCTGTATACTTACCGACAGGGAAGGCAGTCACTAATACATTGTCCTGTATACTTACCGACAGGGAAGGCAGTCACTAATACATTGTCCTGTATACTTACCGACAGGGAAGGCAGTCACTAATACATTGTCCTGTATACTTACCGACAGGGAAGGTAGTCACTAAAACATTGTCCTGTATACTTACCGACAGGGAAGGTAGTCACTAAAACACTGTCTTGTATACTTACCGACAGTAGTGCCTTTGGTTCTGGTCTTTATTATTCATCTGATGATTTCTTGAAAGTAAATTTATCTTTTATTATTTCAATGCCAGATGTAGAGAAGTGAGACGAGTTAGTAGATATAAAAATAAGGCCAGGTCACCGACTAAATAGGCCAGGTCACCGACTCAATAGGCCAGGTCACAGACTCAAAAGGCCAGGTCACCGACTATATAGGCCAGGTCACAGACTCAAAAGGCCAGGTCACCGACTAAATAGGCCAGGTCACCGACCCAATAGGCCAGGTCACCGACTAAATAGGCCAAGTCACCGACTCAAAAGGCCAGGTCACCGTCTCAACAGACATTAGCCTGAGTATCCCGGTTAATCTGGCTACACACGAGTTCAAATGAAAGAGCGCATATAAGGAACAATGCAATGGATTCCACCATCAAAATACTCTAAATCTGAAGGAGGGACACATTTGTAAAGGCAAATATGAGCTGCCCTCGGAGACTCGTCATAAAGACGCTAAAAATGAAGATATCGGCTGTCTTAGTGGGAGCAGCAATGCATTTTGTACTTCATGGTTCTGATACGCAGAGCCGAAATCTTAAATAAGTTAAATACATTATGTTTGATCGGGTGCTAGCGCAAAACAAAGCTCAGTGTGACCAAGCATTGAGTATTAAAACCAATCTGCCGTAAAATAATTTTCACAAATTAGATGTTCGTATTTCGTGTCACGGAGATACGGTTTGCGAAAATTGGGACCAGTTGGGTGTCAGTAAATAGCATCAACATGCAAGGACATGTCTCACATTTTATTGCAAAAAGTTATAAACAAGAACCAACCAGACACTAAAATGAAAACAAGTATAAATAAGTTCTCAGTTTCGATTGCTACCAGCAACTTGTTTTTTCTTACATCGATATCAGCGTCATATGACGAGCGGCTTAAGGTCACAGCAAGCAGGATTCTATTGCTTGGATGAGATTGATCGGTCTTTCATATTTTCTTGTCTGCGGCGAGGAGATATTAATACATCGACAGAACTGGTGATTACACTAACAAAATACGGGACAAACATTTAATTTAACGTTATGTATTCAATCTGGTGTCGTGAGACAGGTTTAAGGGATATATTGTACATAACACCGCGCATTCATAACCTGATGAATGATTTTTTACAGGGAGTAAGATCAAATATAAAGACATCTACGGGCTTCTGTCTGCTGCTAAACACGGACAGAGACACTCCATCATATCAAAACTCGACCTTACATTACCAGAGAAAACATGGACTGACTGTTGATAAATTAAGTAATTAGGTATCAGAAATTGCCGCGTGATGCTCTTATTGGTTTTTGAAATGAAATTAACACGACGTTGGGAAGACCTTGGATTGAATGATTGAACAAAAAATCGTAAATGGAGAGAGGACCTTGACAGGTTTAGTAATAGACCTCGTACAATTATGCCTTCAAATAATTATGTGATTTACAGAATAAAAACAATCATCATCATCATCATCATCATCATCATCATCATCATCATCACAATTATCATCACAATTATCATCATCTTCAGCAGCAAAACAGCGTTGCCGGCAGTTCAGCGATGACTTGAACAAAAACTAGAAATATCACGTTCCCAATGGAGACTGCATTGAGAACAGCAGAATCAACGGTTCTACTAACGAGCATTGAATAAGCCCAGCATCATAATGCATAAGGGAATAGATTATTACCTTATGAAATCATTATGACGACTATAGAACTTCTCATTATGTTCATCAATTGCATCTTTAAAAAAAACCTTGTTATGAGATGTCGCAATTACCGACAACTTGCAAGAAAATCGTGATATTGAGATCAAGACCTTCTCGAACACTTTCTTATTTTTCATGCTGTTTTCTTCAGTAGTGTTGCTCCTTTGAATGACAAAAAAAGTGACTAAGTATGATTGTTTCCTTCATGTTTCGCAAGACACGTTCGGAATTTTGTGGTAGGCTTAGTACCATTTGGTTTTCATGGTATCTCAGAGATTCTACCAGCAAAGTTGTAGACACGAACAGAATTTTGGACTTGTGTAGTCACTGCCTGGCTGTAGGTAACGATTTACTTAATTCATTGTTGAGATTCGTCCGATTAACAGTCAGTGTCATTTAAGGACGTGTCAGGTTTGGATGGTGGAGGAAAGCCGGAGTTCCCGGAGAAAAATCACAGCTGTGGCCATGTACCAGTCGACTGACCCACGTAGGTCTCGAACCCGCGACCGTGGGTCCACAGGCTAGTGTTAAAGTCAGGCAGACACTTTACCATTGGAGTTCACCTCTGGATAACGCGTCTGTAATTTAAACAATTGTCTCGCAATGCCGTATCGGCATTGAATGTTGCCACTTTGAGTTTGAGTAAATAAGAAAAAGTGTTAGTTTTGGGACATACACTTGAGAAGATGTCCTTTTATGATACTTTCTGGCAGAGACTTTTTAAAAACTATAAATTTAGAAGTCGCTTTAAGCATCACGTTCTGAGCTATCAGTTACCCTACAAATGAAAATGGACATCGAACAAGACAAGAATTGGTCATGGTAATGCTATATAACACTGATATAAAGGGATTCAGATAGTTCTACTGAAATCCTTGCTCTAAATATTTCTAAAAAAATGTTATACAGTCTTGGGTATCAAATCTGTGGAACAGTATTCAAACAAATCATAATTATTAAAATTCTATAATATGGTAATTCTGCGTGATTGCTGTGAAGACTTGGCTTATTTCAGCCACGTTGCTCTAGTTGACAGAAGGTGGCGTGGGAGTTGTCAAGTGGTTTGATTTGCCTGTTGGTATCTAATATTTCACATTCAGGTTTGCCATTGGCTGTCAACACTTATTTGCATTGCACGCCAACTTTTCGTGTTCTTTGTATTTTTTTTTTTTAATATCCAATTTCGCCTTTTTGTAGAATGGTTATTCATATAATCTGTCCCTGCTCCCGTGAACTTCACTCACAGAAGAATATTGTCCTTCTTCCGAACTCGTGCCCTCCACTATTTGACGACGCTAACCATGAACTATAATTGAGTCCAGAATACCAAATTCCACGCCGTCTCTCTCCTCCTGCCCCTATCCCTCCTTGCACTTTTAAAATAAATTTTGATTGAGGAGGGATTTTTTTATTTTTGAATTAAACTTTTTGACAGAATGGCGTGATACTGGGTATTCTATTATAAGCTATTTTGTCTCCTTGTTCTGTAAAATGCCAACTGGAGTCACTGTAATGCACAAACCTAAGATTTATTCGTTGGGATAATTTTTAAAGACACCAAATGGTGAAAAATAATCAAATTTCCTTCAAATGTCACGAGGATGTTTAGATAAATTCGACAGGTCGACCATTAAGTTTTATAAATGATTAGGTGTACTGGTAAAATCCCAGTTCTATATATAGCTATAGATGGGATAACCCCCTATGTTGTGCTGTTCTGAAAATTATCAAATGAAAATGTGTTGGGTTTTTTTTCATGTTTATCCCAGTTAGTTAATTGTGAATATTTGAAAGGATGTTTTATTGTGGAGGTGAAAAATCAAAACTTTGCTAAAGCTTGTTATTTATGAAGTCTGCAGAA